CCCCCCCCCCCCCCCCCCCCCCGGTGGTTATGTGGAGGATAACCCCCTATCTGGAACAAGAAGAACCTTGCGAAATACACGTTCTTTCCTTTTCCCTTTTTTTTTCTATGTTTCGCAGCAAGATGCAGGGCTCTGCGGTGCCCCACTACTTCACCCCACGTGTCGGCGAGTATGACATGTGGGCGATCAAGTACGGGTACATGGCGGTGGAAGGGGAGGCGGATGAGCTGCTAGCAGAGCACGAGGCGAGTAACCTGAATGCGGGAGGTGTGTGTGCGTGTATGTGTGCAGGAAGGGAAAATGTCACTGTGTGTGAAGGTAGGCAGATAAAGAAGGTGCGTCCATGTTTTGTCTTGACGAAATTTGCGGTGTTTGCGTCCTCCACCCCTCTCCCCGACTTGTGTCCTTCTTTCAGCTTCTAGTGCCAAGACCATCTCCATGCTTGTGTGAACATCCTCGCCCCCTCGCCCTCGCCCCTTGTCCCGGTGGCTCATATCGTACCTTTAGGAGTTTTCGTTGTTTTTTTGTCTCGAATTAGCGATTGCTTTAATCCAAGCTCATATTTTCAATTTTACGTTGAACATATATAAATGATGCTATAGTTAATGCTTTTTCGTATAAATTATATCTCGAACTGCTATTCTATCTATCGACCATTTGCTACGATCGTAACGTTTTTTGGGGCGTGTGCCCTACTTTTTGTGCAATCTGCCTGCAGGACCTGAAAGCTTTGGCGTCCCAGGCTTTGGCCTTCTCTACGGACGAGGATGGGTCGGGCTACTCGGGGATGAACCCGCTGGCGTCAGTGTTCGATCTCGGACAAGAGCCTATGGATTACTGGGAGGACAAGGTAACCCCCCCTCCCCGTTAGCAAAGTAGAAAGGAACGATTGGCCATCGGTCCTGTGGGAGTAGTGCTCCGCCGCCCTCTCGAGGACGCGTGGTCAATGGCCCAACAACAAAGCCATGCAAAGCATGGGTACGCCCCCTCTCCCCTCTCTCTGAATCCGGGGGTCTACTGTACGGCCTCAAAGCCGTTGGGTATGGGTGATACTGCATACCCCTCGACCCCACCTCCGACTTGCGAAATCACTCTATTAATGGTTTTGGAATTTTGTTGCAATTTTCGGGCGAAGGATGCGTTCGGTCTCTGTTGTTCCTCCGAAATGCATTACACTCAGACAGAGGTTTATGATACAGCGACTCGAACGCACCCCCCCCCCCCCC